GCTTGGTACCATCAATTTCCAAAATTATTCGAGGTGCATGCATAATAAGTTTCCTGAATAACGAATGCGAGTCGTTTGAGCCTGTCGAGCAACAAAAGATTCCGACGACACGTTGTGCCAGTACCTCGACATGTTATCTAGAGGCTAAGTGAGAGCACTGCTAATGATGAAAGTGCAGATTTAGGCAGTAGTAGTAGGGATAGCAGTAGTAATACACCGATCACCTAAGCGGTGGCCTGTTGCTGGCGGTGAGGGAGAGAGTGAGGTCGACACTCAGCGCATTTTTAAAGCAACGTTTCCCAGGTGAAAAATTCAAAAATGGCAAAAACAGCAGGATTTAGTGGATCCATTAAATTTCAGGAGAGCTCTTCAGCTGCTTCTTCTCATTGCATGATACGAGTAACGAATGGATAAATACAAAATTGAATTGGTACAGAAAGGTCATAGGGTACAGTCACGAAGGTTAATTAGTAAAGTGAGTCTAAACAATGTGGAAAGAAAAACCGAGGAAAAAGATGTTAAGGCGGAAAGGTGGACATGGGACAGCATAAATCAGTGAGCCGGATTTTACCAGGGCAAAGCAAGGTTAACCACAGGCTCCAACTGTTTAAATAGGTCTGGTTTTGACCGCCGTATATAGGCTGCCCCCAGGTAGCGCAAGTTGAGTTGTTCGTGCCCGAACAAGTACTCGGAAAGAAGTTTTAGTGTTCACAGAATTGTCCGTATCTAGCAAGTGTTATGTGATGGAAGACCGAGGTGTTCTATTCTCTTGTTTAAATAGCCAACTAGGCAAGTGCTCCTTGGCTCTGGCTGTCAATTGCCCTTCGTTAGCCCTATGTACTTGCATCCTCAAGTGAATGTAAATTCATAAACACAATTGGAAGTGGCGTGCAGTGGTAAGGTATCTTTCGGACAAGGAATCGTAAGGGCTTAGTTGGAGAGCAAAATATGAGTTCAGCAGCATAGTATGTTCTTTCAATGGCATTAAGAAGGCGTCTCTTGCTGGTATTTAAAATGTTATCGCCCTTAAAGGGCAAGGAAATGAAGACAGGTTTTTTAGGAGCTAACTGTTCTGTCCTTTTAGGTCGTAGGGGTTTACTATACTTGTCTATAAACTGAGTTGGATATCCCCGCTTCAATAGCGTTTCTTTGAAACTGGCTAATTCTGTATCGCCCACACGCGCGAGCCTACCTATCAAGGTGGTGTTTTTGTGGCGCGTGTTGAGTGTCGGTCGCGCCAACCATCTGCGCCCTCCCCCGTCTCCGGTACTCTCGACTTTTGTCTTGATATCGGGTTCAGGGGAGGGAGTGGTCAGAGAGTGGGGAAGATTCTCCGCAAGTCTATTCTCACTTTAATCCCGTGGGAGTCACCGCGTACTTTAGCCTGCTGAAGCTCGTAGTGAACGACGGTCGAACTGTCAGTAGTAGTAGTAGTAGTAGTAGTAGTAGTAGTACGCAGTTTTTTTGCGTTGCAGAGCGTAGGAACTTCCAGGGGTGTATATAAATGTTTGGAAGCACTCGCTGCGTGCAAATAGTCCACAACTTACAATTATAGTCAAATGTGATGGCGAGGATAACCGCGAAAAATCGCTTATCAGTAGCCTTTACAGCCCAAATACGCGAGCAATAAATCCCGAGAGAACGGTTAGTCATACCACGGTGAAAAGGACTACTTAGTAAGGTCATTCAGTATCGAAAACTCACTTGAAGTAACTCGCAATTTGTGCAATATGAACACGTATTGTGCCGGTCTTTAAGAAACGTGGATTGCCAGAAAACTCGCACACAACAAATTACGCCGGCCCACTGGCATGAAGGCGTTGGTCTCGACCGAGTTGCACACATCGGCAAGTCAGGTTGAAAGCAGATTATAAGCCCGATCCCGTCAGTCAACACGTTTCCCCGCTCAATAGGTTGCCTACTTCCAAAAATCCGCATGACTGGCACATGACCAATTCTTGAGATCCATGCTGACACGGTTTTTAATTAGATTTATTGGAAAGTCTGACACACTTAGACGACTGCATTTAGTTACTGACCTTGAACATGTTACTTCTGACAATATTTTCAGTGTTAATTTCCTTGAAGTATAATGGGTCGGCGGACGTTTGGCTATCCCGTTCAAAAATGATATAGTTGAAAGTATGCACACCTTTAGTACGGAAATGGCGACAGCGTAAGCCGTAAAGTTGCGGAAAAAGGAAAACGCGACAGTTTTGTACGTCGGCACCATGGGGAATCATTCCTATTGCTATGGTAAAACATTAAATCATAATGATGTACGGACAAGGTCC